GACTGTACCTGTTGTTGTAGGGTCGTGTCCATTTTTTCTAGGATACTTGAAGTCGGGTCCAGGTACGATCGTGAACTGTGAATGATCGAGATGCTTGTCGCAAAAAAGAAACAAAAACTTCCAGCTTGAGTGACGTCGGTGGGTTGAAACAACATGCGAAACACACTCGGGTCATCTGGTTGTATTCAATACTCTCCAGCAATCTCCTGGGAAAGTGGCTGGGGTGGGTTCTAGGGGAGTCTAACATGGTCTATATAACTACCTTCTGAGGAGGTGGAGCCCTTTTTCGGCAACAATGTCTTCGCATTTCGGGCTCACCCTGGGCTGCCATGGCAGGACACGAACGAAGAGAGAATGTTAGCATCGGGCAGAAATGACTCACAAACGGCGGGTTTTTTCACCTGAAGAGAATGCCGGACCGACCGGTTTGCGAAATCCGCTAAATGGACCGGACCGAGCGTTTTCTTCGAGGCAACAGGTGGCAGCAGGGTCCGTTTTTCGTTCTGTTCAGCTCCCGCTCGGCTCTGCCACACTGGGAGCGACAGCGCGGTGATGAGACACCTCGTTTTCAGGGCTTCTCCTTTGACAGGTGTTGACCTCCCAAGACAGGCTTTGACGATTTCAAGAGAGAAGACAGGTCAACTGACCTTTGACCTGCCCTGGCAGAAGTTGACCTCCTCCCCACTCTTGACATCCCATCGACTGTACCCGATGCACCGCACCGGCGCCGCGCGTGGACACGCGCGAACACTCGCGCGCCCGGAGGTTGACGATGCGGTCGCCATCGAAGTCGAGCCCGTCAAAGGTGAGGATCGGAGTGGGCGCGCTAGCCTAGCGCTCGGAGAGAGCGCATGGCGGGGGATGAGGGATGGAACTAGTAAATGGTTGAAGAAGGATCTGGAAGAGAATCTTCATTGAAGGCCCGACTGGGGTGTCGTTCATCTCGCTCAGTTGTGAACCTTCCTGACAAAGAGCCAGGGGTCTTCGGGCCAGGGCACCCTGTGTCCTTTTTGGAAACACCGAAAGGTCATCGATGACAAGGACCCATGGACGTCCATGGACCGTTGGTGGTTTCAACTCGCTTGACAAGCTCAGTAGTCAGTGGGTTCTTCCTCATCCCCACAGTGAAGGTTGAACAGCAAAACGGCTGAAACCACCACCCAGTCAGTTGGGTGTTCTTCACTGGACACTCGCAAAATGGATCAACCAACCACTCCAGCCGAAGGTCAGGTCGACAGGTTTGAAACCGGTCGCAAGGCCTCGGCGGTCCTCGTGAGTGATCAAGGCCTCTGACAGGTCACCCATTTGAGAGCTCCAGTCTTAGGGCCCACCCTCGCAAGACCTTACCCTCGCAAGAACCAGCAGAGGTTAAAGAACCCTATAGACCATCCCATCGGTACACCAGTAGGTTCCCATTTACGGTCACTGTCCACCTCTGTAGGTCCCCCCAAACCGCCGAAACAACTTAACCTCTGTAGGAACGCCAGTTACCATGGGTCGTCCCATGGGTCGTTGCGCTCCTCGACGCCTCCCCCCGTTCGACGCTCCGCACGCGGACGGCCTTCGCCTCGCTCCGCTCGATCCTCTCTTCGCCTCTCAGCTCCGAGAGGACGCCTCGGTGAGCCGAACGGATGGAAATGGGTGGAGGGGTGGATGGATGGAGAAAAGGAGAGCCATCCGAAGTGCCTTTAGCTATAGGGGAGAGCACTTGAACACGACCTGAACACTGAGAAGTGTTCAGGTGTTCCTGGGAACTCACGACCTGAGCATCGGATCTGAGCTGATGTGTCGGAGTTTCAAAGTGTCAGGATCTGTCGGGTCGACCTACTTGGGTGTGGTTTTGAACGGTCCGGTCGGGTGGAGGAAGGTCACTCGGGTCTTCGGACTCCGGATCCGGCGCGAGCGACTGTTCTTTTCGGTCCGGTGGAGCCCCTCTCCAAGGAGTTTGGGTCAATATTCTCATGGGTTGTTGGGTCATAACTATTGCAAGAAAGGTTTGGCAGGTCCCCAAAATCCCTGGGTAGGCTGTTTGTTGGCCTGCAAAGTCCCTAGTCACCCTAGGCCCTAGTCCTCGGTCTTCGTCGCATCTTCTGCGCTGCGCAGCGTTGTTCTCACACCTTTTCCCATTTGGTCGAGTGCTGGGAGAGAAAACTGCTTCATAGACCAGAGGTGTTCATATACAAAAACAATGATCTTTTTGCTAGGGAAAACCATGCAGGTCTTTCATGGTTTGTGGGGCCGCTGGTGGTCATAGTCATGCTTTCATGCGGCCTCCAAGTGAAATTTTCCCTGAAAAAAACTGTACGGATCTCTCCACTGCCACGACCAACGGGACTCCTGTCTACTGTACCCATTTGCTCAATTGGTCATCACTTTTCGTCATCACTTCTTGCGCTTCTTGCTCTTCTCCTGAGCCACTGGGGTCTATAGGCCGGGCATGGCCGGGGGGGTGAATGCGTGGAAGACCAAAAGACCGAACATGCGGTGAATGCGTGGACTTCCCTGGTTGGGAAGCACACCGAACTTCTTCCAGTCGTCCTGGTGAGGTCACCGATCTTTTTGGGATGCCTGGTAGATGCTGTGCCTGGGATCCACTGGGTACACTGCCTGGAAACGCATCATAGCAGAACTGACCCCCTGAACAATCGGGTCTGACCCCTTTTCGAGAACGGACCAGTCCCAGGTGCTGGTGCCATCCACTTCCGATTACTTCGGGGAGCGAAAGTTGAAAATGAACAGGAAAATCACGGCAGGTCCTTGCCCACCGCTGTCTAAAGAACACAGCACGACTGCATGTGTACCTTCGCGGCCCGGCCGACTGACTGAAGCAGGATTGAAAAGGACCTCTGCCGGTTCAACTAGTTGGGTACCCAACTGGAACTGAAGCTCTCTTGGTCAGGTGCTGCTGGCGTGCCGGTGCTGGGTGCTGTGAGCTGGCTGTGGGCGTGGTGGAAACAGGCTGCCTGGCTGTGCCGGGTTTTTTCTGGTGTTCTGTTGAAAGACCAAAGAAATGCCAAAGAGCTCGGGCTCTGTCATGAGCAGTTCTTCAACGACAAGAACTTGATGGGTATAGGTTCCGAGTGAGGTCGTGTTCCAATCTTTCTCAGCAAGTATATCGGTCCTTCCACGTCTACGTGGTCTCCGCAAGCAACTGCTCCCCCAGCTATATTCGAATACGGATTTTTCTGGCCATCCCTGGGGCTATCCCCCTGACCATCGCCTTCTTCTTCTTTTTCTTCTCCTCCAAAAAAGCAACTGACGCCCTCACACTCACCCCAAACGGGCGTAACAGCGACATGATGAGACACTGGCGCGGTGTTTTTCTGGACGTGTTTAAATGAGTCTGGCAGCCATATATGGGGATACTGACCCGTTCAAGGCGCAGGCAAGAAGTGCTACACAATCAGAGAACCACGCCAGTTTGTGTAAACAGCATCCATGATCAAAGCAGGACGTACTGACACTGACACGCAGGACAACTTGTGCGGCGCTGCTGCCAGCATTCGAGACCTAGACATGCACCCGAAAAGAATCCATGATGCAATATGACCGTGTCTCCTTCTTGTCCTTTTTCTTCTTCTTCGAGGACTTCTTCCTCACGGCCCAGCGGACCCAATTTGCGTCCAACAGATGGAGCTCAAAAGAACAATCTCTTGAATGTGTCAGACCATCTTCCCCTTCCCACATTCCATGTATAACCACCCCAAAGTAGGTAAATATGCCAGTCAAATGGAGTGGTTGGGCACCAAATCGCCAGCGCATCCTCCTCTTGATCTCGAATCATGATTCATACATCGACCAAGGCTTGACAAGCTCAGCAGAGGCTCAAGAACCGATGGTTTGTTGAGGTTGAGGACGGAAGAAAAAAAACAGAACGAACTCCTATAGCAGTACCCTTCCTGCCAACTCGCTTTTTCGGCTTAGGGCTTGGGGTTTGGACCCTCAGTCGACCGACCTCTGACCCGAAACCGTCGGGGTGCGACCGTGACCGAGAACCGTGACTTCCTGGCGACCGTGACGAAGTGACTTCAGTGCCTCCGAGTCACATGGTTTGGACAAGAAAAAAAGGGCACAAACAGACCTGGACCTTCTGAATCGGGGTGTCCTGGCTGGAGGTCCCTCATTAGTGGTGGGCTGGGGCGAAACCAGCCAGGTGACCCCGACATGAAGGTGCTGGTATCGACCAGGAGTCACATGTCGTCACATGGAGGCCAGGGTGGTGTGGTGTTTAGTCCCTTCCTTCGGGGCCGCGGATAGATACATACCCCTAACCTCCGCACCCCGTCTTGTGACTGCTGGTACAGGTTTCAAGGACAGGCCCAGAGGTTAACAAGCTCATCTTCCTTTTGAAATGACGACATCTCTCCAACATAAAGACATGAATACATTGAACCATGATGCTGCTACCGAACACACAGAGGGGGGGCCCCTCTGACCACCTCAGAGACCTTCCCTGGGTTCCCGAAGTTTTCCACCTGTTGGACTCTTTGAAATGAGTTCGGTGTCACCCAATTCCTCACCTCACCTCCGCCCTTCCTGCCAGACACTGGTCCAGACACTGGACCAGACACTGCAGAGCTTGGGAGCAAAATCCAGGTCTGTTGATGTCATTTGGCTCCGATGTTCCGGATCCAACAGACCTTGCTCTACCAGTCTACCACCCTCCACGCTCTCCGCGACCGGCGAGAAACGCTCTCCGGGACGGGGAGACGGGGAACCGCACGTCGGATCAAGACCCGAAGACGGCGCTCCAAGGGTCTGAGCACCTCCCTGAAATCATCCCAGGCCCTAGGGATCCACTGCCACACTGCCACCCTCCTGTACGAGCAGGGAGACCCCTACATCATGATGTAGTCTTGAAGGTTCCAAACACCTTCCAAACGAGCGTCGAATGCTCCGGTGCCTCGATCGAAGTGCATGGCACCACCACCCCCGATGACACCTGGTCAAACCCGAATCTAGAGGTTCCGATGCCAGGCCCTTGCGTGCTATCCACGTCATGGGATTCTTTCAGGGAGTGTCCCGGGGTTCGGTCGTTGCCTGGGCCGCCGACCGAAAGGTTCGCGACGGCGGACGGCCGCGGTTCGTCGGTTCGGCGAACTGAAGAAGCTGGTATGGGCCAGATGGCCAGATGGCCAGATTCACACTACAGTTTTCCCAACATCTCCACGGTTTTTCCCCAACATCTTCATGCATCTGCTTCTTTTGTCTGCTTACATCTCCCAACATCTCCAGTGCTTGAAAACCCCCGCACACTTCTCGCAGCTTTTTTGGCTCCACGGCCGGAGAGACCATCTTCTCAGCCTGGTCGCCGTCCGCTCGGGACGGATGCCACGAAGCAAGAATCCATCACCCAGACGCTCCATGTATGCCATATGCCATATAAATATGCCGATCAATTGGGGGCTGATCAGTTGGGGTGGTGCCAGGGGGGTCAATGTGCGCATATATTCCAGTCCCATGGAGTGTATGGATAATGGCAGGGATTGCGGAGGCAACATGAGCCCGACCTCTTTCAACGGTCGACTCCCTCTACAAGAGGGGGTTTGGTTTTGGGATGCCCCTGAACCAACAAAACGAAAAAGCTGGTTCTTGGAGGGTCTGAGGGTCCTGATCAAGGGTGCGATCTCCGCTTCGGAAGCTCTGAGGGTCGTTCCAAACTGCTTGCCCTCCTCGCTCTCTGAGCAGCTTCGGCGCTAACCACGCTGGGGGGTCGAAGTGGAGCTCCACACCCATTGGGGTGGTTTTTCATAGATCCACGAGTAGGTTGGGGCAGTGCAGCCAGGAGACCTGGAAGTCAAGGAAGAAACTCTTCCGGGTAGGGAGCTCAAATCCTCAACATGGTCCCTTTTTGACCTTCAAGGGTCCTTGATGTCCTTGATGTGCGTGCGTTCAGCGCGTCTTCGTGAGGGGAACAGCATGGAACAGGCTCTTCAGTTGTAAGACCCGAAAGGGACTTCTCTGACTCCTCAGCTTCTCTTCGGTCAATCCCAGCTTCTCGGACAACCGGTGAGAAGTGAGTCAACAGATCGGTCAGAGGTCAGAAGATCGGTCACCGGTCGCTGGCCCTCTTGAGCGGTCGCAAGGGTTCTTCAGTTCCATGGTCTTCAGTGTCTTCAAAAGGGCTTCTCCACCGGCCTCCAGCAAGTTTCGCGGATCCTCGCCCTGCAACTCCTGCCGCAAAAAAACGATCAGTGCCGCGGAGACTGATCGTTCCGAAGTCTGGATATGAAACATGTCGCTGAGTGGGTATGAAAGGCATATTGATTGTCAAGAACCTCCAAACAGGAAGCAAATTCAATGATTTAAAATATAGAAACACTGTAAATGAGAAGAATCATATTGTTCGACGACGCATGTACAATCAAATACACTCCAAATAAAAGAGGGGGGGGCCCTCCAAGAGACAGGCTTTGCTGGTCCAGACCCCGTGGTGAGTTTGTGACTGCCGGTGGACCGCGGTGGCCGGCAGAAGAAGCTGCCCCTCCCCATCCTTCAAAAATGGAACAAAAGAACACAAACATGATGGAAGGGTTTTCAGAAAATCGCAGACCTTCCACTTCGAGAAACCAACTCAACCCGCGCAACCACAAACATGGGGTCTGCCCGTCCACCGGCCAGTTCGGCAGCTCCTGCAGCTGCAACTCCAACTTTCGAACCTGCAGGCGTGCTAAGGCGGGCTAAGGCAGGAATGCTTGGAGGACCAGTCGTGTGTAACGACCGGCCCAGTCGACCCGTCCGACCTGTTCCAGAACGGCAAACCCCTCGGCCCAAGGAGTAATGGAAAACAAGGAGGATATACCTCAAGGAGTAAAAAGTGCAGCAAACATCCAGACATGCCCTTTGGATCCACATACCGAACCTGAGAAGGTGATTGGAGACTATTTATGTAGGCTTGGAGGGTCCAATTACCTTCTGTGAAGGTGGCATTGAAACAGCATCAAGAAGACGTGAAAGAATGGATGACCAACACTCCCCCGCGGAGACAACGGCATGTCCTACCAGTTTCTGCCGTTGATCGACATATCACACTTGCCCTTCCCGGCCACGAGATTCTCCCAAAGAGTTCGATACTCTAGGAAGAAGTTCGTATAGATCGTTCAAGTTCATGTTCGTACTTTGACAAAGAACTACTTACTCCCGAAAAATGAAATACCACTGACCTGCTGGTGAACATCAACGAATTTCACCGTCGGCCCGAACCTGAAGCTGCAAACACCCCTAGTTAGGATGTAGGCCGCTGTAGGCCCTTAAATACTAAGTGGTATATCAACTCCCATCCCAACCGAGCCCTTGAAAATCACTCAGTGTTTCGTCAGTTTAGGGTGTAGCCCATTACCAATAACAATATCACTATTTTTGAGAAAGGCCTTTACTAACTACTATCCATATAGGATATACCCGACGTCAGTTGACCCATGCACTTGTCATTATAATCGACTTGGTAGCACCCCCCCCACCCCACCGACCTCCTCTTCCAGCGTGGCTTTTTGCGCCTGTAGTTTGGCCTGGCCATCAACAGACTCGCAGAGATGGTTTCCATGCCACTCTGGAACGACCCACTCTAAATTGTCCATTTCATCGTTTCAGATGGGCTGCGCAGGGTGCCTGGTTGATCTTGTTTCGTGGGAGCAGGGGTGTCAGGAGTTCAGACGTTGCCCTGGCCACCTTTGCACCAGTGAGTGTAGTTGACCTCCGTTGCCGGCTTCGCCCGGATCGATCCCGCTCGCCGCCAAGCCGACGGTGACCGTCGGCGATCGGCGATCGGGAGATTTGGGTCGAGGACATCGGTTCATGGGATTTCAAGAGGTGGCCATTTTGGGTTTAAACATCTTTAAACCCTATAGGGCTCCTGGCCCACCTATAGGACATCGGTTCGGTGGGCCAGGGGATCGAAGACCACCGGTCACCGGGTCGGATATGGGACGAGCGGAGCCCTGGGATCCCTTCCATCAAGGAGACGATCCAGATGCGACTCGACCTGTTCAGCAGATTCTTCACACAAGGAGACGATGCCCGGCCCATTCTTCTCTGCACTTGTTGCCACCTCTTGCCACCTGTAGCACCTGAATTTTTGCATGTACCATCTGTGCAGGCCCTTCGCGAGCCGAAGCTTCTCCTGAAACCAAGGGCTGTGGGTCATGTCACCTTGGGTATTACCTGGTTACCAGTACCTTGACCGTCCCCGGTGTCGGTCGGGTGTTCGCTACGTGGATTGGTCCGGGTTTCACCAGGTGGAAGCACCAAACCACCCATCCCCCGAAGCACCCATCCCTCCAAAGCCCATCCCACATCGCCTGCTTGTTTCGCAACTCCGTGCGCCTCCGACTCGGTCGATCAGAACGGGTCCGCGTTTCTCGATTGGATTCGGGGTTTCGGATGGGATCGGAGGATGGAAAAGTGCTGAAGTGGCTCCAAACTCGTGGTGCGATCTTCCGACTATGCAGAAGTTCTGCCGAGCGCCAAGCTGGTGTGGATTAAGAAGCGATGAAACACCATGATGTCTGATTCAGCCAAATCATTCCCCTACAAATCCAACCACCATTGACATTAATTACAATAATCCTGAATCCCCAAAAACCGCTGTTTTGCGAAGAATGTCACACTGCAAAACTATAGGCCGGCCTTTCTTTGAATGGTCGAAACGGAAAGCGAACGAGCGGCTATCCAGGGATTCGGCCATTTCCGAACGGATCAGTCTGACGGGTCTCTCCCCCCCGTCCCGTCGGCCTCATGGAAACCGCGGCTTCCTCGGGCGGCCCCTCCTGGGACGAGTCTGCGCGGGACCGCCGCTGCGCGCGCTTTGTCTGCATCCAATATGTGAGAAGAAGAAGATGGAATTTAAGACGGGATGATTTTGAAAACAAACTAACACACAAAACAGGTTCAGGCTCAGGTTGACCAAATCAAAAGAAACCATGATGAGAGCGACAACAAAACTCTAAGCCAGTGTTTTCGACAGTGCCGAGTGTTCTGCTCACCACGTGGCGTGGGGTGGCTCCTCATCGAGCTCCTCATTCTCATCGAGCAGGGCGAGTGGCTCCTCCACATGCTCTTGGGTCTCTGGCTCTTGGAGATCCTGGAGATGCTGAAAAAGCCGGAGCCGCGTCGCAAAAGGAGCGGCGTCACGATCAGGTGAATCCCCCAGTCCACTCCGACCGGCATCTTGACCAATCAGCCCAGCGGTTTGGGAGCAATATACGGATATACGACTGTATAGATACTAGTATATGCCAGTCCAGTCATGTCATCAGCAGACGTGAGCTCTTGAAACCGGACTCCGGCCCTTCGAACTGGACCGGTTTCAAACGCTTTGGGACCCACCCCGGACACCTCTCGAGGTCCGGACCTCCGGCGTTTTGGGCCGCGCCCCGGTGGCGGTGGCTGCGGTGGAACTCCCTCCCTCCGTCCTGGACCGTGAGCGGCTCCAAAGTGCCCAGGTGCTCGGAAGAGCTTTGGTGTTCTTCCAGCTGCTTCCTTGGTGCGGTCTGAAGAGGACCTAAGGGTCTTGCTTCCTTGGTGCTTCCGAAGCTTCCCCCGCTCTGTCGATGCTCCATCGTCATCGCGGGTCTTGCAGGTTGGAGCGATCTGGGGTCGATCTGTGGTCGTTGCTGGATGGATCGTTGGGCAGGATGACACTGTCCTGTGGAGAGGGACACCCGATCCCCTAAACATGTTCGTACCCCAGAAAATTAATGAAAATGGGACATGACCCGAACACAAAACAGGTACGACTTTTGACCCAATATCTGAGGTACATGGAACCAGGTCGACTCCAGGTACGTCTTGTGTGCAAAGGCTCAAAGTAAACAAGTTGGTTCTCGGGAAAATCGTGCTCCCTGCCCGAGGCCAATTCTTCACATTGGCAGCTCACATCTTCTGTTACATATACCATGTTTTGACGGTTGCTCATGTATTTAATATGTCTTAAAGCACGGTTTTTTTTTAAAAGGACAAATACCACTTCAAGCGCGTGGTCACAGGAGTGATGGAGAGGAAGAGTCCAGTCGAAATCGCTCAAGCCAAAGCTTTCGTGGTCCGGTTTTGAGGACTTTTCCATATTTTTGGAGCCACCAACCAGCATCCTGTCTGGGTGTCCTGGCTGGACTACCCCACAGCTATCCGAGATGTCCAGACAGGAACCCAGACACAATATGGTCCAGGAAGAAGTAGAGCTACGCCCCTTGGAAGCCGAACTATTCCAGCCCACAAAACAGCGCAGACTGCAGGGGAAGAAGGGAAAGACCCTGCTGTTGCTGTCTTTCCGCGTGAACCGCGACCCCGAAGGAATCCTGGGGTTGGATGAGGAATTGATGAAGGTGATCATGGTGAGGTGTTTTGCTGCTGAAGAACGAATGATTTTTTAAAAAAATAGCTCTCAACCAGCCAAGAGAATCTAAGAGACTTAAAAGTGTCAGATGGTGACCTGTTCACTTGCCCCAGCCGACTTCATTCTCCGGCTTGCCCACTGGATCTCACATCAACAAAATTAGGTACAGTATATAGGTATATGACATTGTGTTCAATCCCTTCTCCAAAAATTTGCCACAATTACAACCCCGAAATGAAGCTGTCAGCCCTAAACCCGGCCTTTCAAGGCTGTCTCCGCTTGGAATTGGTGGTTGACGTCGGTGTGAAACACCTCGTGGGGTTTTCCCGTGTACCAAAGAACCCTCAGGCCAGCATCTCATCATCTTCCAGGCCTTCCAGGCCTTCCAGGCCAAGGCTCAGGTCCGAAAACCACTGGAAGCAGTGGACACATCCGTAGCGTGCCGGCCCCGTGGTTCCAGACCTCCCAGACCTCAGACAGCTGTCGAGCGAGGTCTCGCGGATTGCTGCGAGTACCGCCGCCACATCTCTCAGGTCGTCATTCTGTCAATAATATCCTGCATGAGTTCCTCACTTTCATCCTTTCACATGATTGTACTAAGTCTTATAATTAGACAGATATGATTGGTATGATGTTGATTCATTGTTTTTCTATGTGCATCATTTCACATTCATCAGTTCCCTAAGAATCCGGACGGGCCTTCCATGGCAGGGCTCGGACCGGACCCTCGCCCGAGGGGAAAACGGGCCCGGTAACCAAACCTGTGTTGCAAACAGGGTCCGGAGTCTTAGGGATATATATGTTAAACCAAGAGAGGTAGCCAGTGACCGGGACCATAGGACCCGTCACCTCTGACTTACCCTGGGATAGTCGAACGTTCCGGTCCTTGGAAATTGAAGATCCATCAGAAAGATTGAAGAACATAACGGTGTCCTCGTGTTGGAGTTGACCCGGAGACGTCTCCTACATCGAAAACCTTGTTCAACTGGCAGGAGAGAAAGCTTCGAAGGGAAGCGCCCAAATCCCCGTCCAGGTCAAGCCCAAACCACCACCTGTATGAGGCTGGCGTACCATTATGTCTGTGTTTTCTATATATATATATACTATATATATATATGTACCTGGCGCTTCCAATGGGTTTCCAATGGTGACCTATAAGCAGTATAGCGTTGTCCATGGGAAGCAGCTGGTCGTTTTTAGTTCTGTCAGGGTCGATGTAGGTCTCTATAGTATCTACCAGGGGCCCCCCACAGATCATCAAAAGACCAGGTGTTCCCTAGCAAAAAACATGGTTTTTGTATGTCGAAAACCTTTGTTTTTTCCTATTTTTTTCATGGTTTGCTTCGGGCCCCCCCTGCTAGACACACCGAAAGGCTCCCTTCGACGTCTTCCGAGTCCTTCAGCCAGGCTCCACTCGGTTTAAGCATGGTCTTGCAAGGCTGGCAACCTGCTCTCACCTCGGCTATCGCTATCCTCTGATTGATCATCCCTTCTTCTATCGCCTTCCTTTATCACCTGCCTGCTCACTCTTGGGGCTACAAACCGCCCCCCTCCGCAGCCCAAATGAGCCACCGTTCACGCCCGAGGCCCTGGCAGCCGCCGGGCCGTCTGCTGGGGAATCGTCTTGAGCGACGGCCAACTTAGCCGACTCTTCCGGAGGATCTCCTCGAGACGAGACGTTTCCGGGATGGTTCGATCGGCCCTTCGTCCAGGGGTCTCACCGTTGGTGAGCCACTGAACGTCACGGGTAGGGCGGGGAGGAATAAAAGCTGGGCTGCCAAGTGGGCCAACCCTCTCTGCCGACTCTTGCTCAACCCCCCTCAAAAAATTATACCAGCATAGACCCCAAACAGCTTCAAAACGATTCGCTTAGACCAATATTAGTCAAAAAACGATTTCTTGGCACGCCCTACCTTCACCCCAAGAGCAAACTGTTTCATCAATGAATTTTTGTCGGCATTGACATCGCTATTTGTTCGGCCACACTCCTCTCCAGTAAGCCGGGCCACAGGGACCAGCCACAGAGCCAAGACAAGGACAAGAGGAGGACAAGGCCCAGCCACAGAGCCCAGCCACAGAGCTCAGCCACAGAGTTCAGGGGCGCGGCCAGTGAGTGTGGCCAGCTCTTTTTTTTCTAAGATAGAACCCCAACAGTAAACTGTTTGGGGAAAAAGGAAGAGCCCTCGCCATCCACGTCGGTTGACCAACCATGCGGGGTCCTTGACTTCGGGCCACTCCAGTGGAGCTCTTTGCTTCGCCTTGCGAGGTCTGGGTCTATACCAGGAGTCGCATGGAGTTGGGTGGTGTTTAGTCCCATCCAGGGGCCGTGGATCATAGACACCCCGAACCTCCTTCAATAAGCACCCTGTCTTGTGCCTGGTATATTGGCTGTTTTTGGGAGGTTAGGAAGAAATGAATATAGAAATAGCTTAAATTTGTAAGACATCTGACATCTCTTAAACATTATTAAACATCTATGCTCGACGTCGGTATGGTGATACAACTGTACCTGGAGGTGACCTGGAATCGACCGGTCAGAAGATGAAGAGAAAAGAGAAAGTCATGCTGCATGCTTAGCTGTTGTCCTTCAGATTCTTTCGGGTTCCATTTTCTCAGGCACATCGTTCTGTGTTGGGTCTCAGGTGAACTCAGGTGAGCTAGTGCATCTGTCCGTCAATGTCGCCCATCTCCGTAGCTAGCCTAGGAGTCCACTCAAGTCCGTCCGTATCGGCACCGCCTTACAAAAGGTGTGCTTCCGAACTTCCGCACTTTGGGGTGGCATACCATCTCAGGACGGACTGCATGGCCGGTGCCGTCCGGACGTCGCCGTCCGGACCCGTGGCGGACGGGTCCGGACGCCTAACGTGGAATCACCGAGCCAATTCGCACGGAGGATCATGGCTTACCCAGTGCATCCCAGGCAGTTCGCACGTCTATAAATATAATAAGGAACCAGGGATTCGGAACCGCTCTACGGTTTGAGTCACGACGGGACTCCCAGCGACATCGTGGGAACTGCATAGATGCACTGGCTTAGATCGGCTGGGACCTGGGACCCCACCGTGGCTGTGGCCGTTGTATGAACGCTTCTGGTCAGATCCATGGGCACCGATTGCTTGCCACCCCATCGATGGAACGGAGGGACCCAGGATGTCCGAGGGCTTTCTCAGCCAAGCCGAGCAGAAGCGACGTGCATGTTTGAACTGCAGAGATCTCTCAACAATTGACCGCACCGAATCCTGTTCGCCTTCAGCTTGACTTATTCCAAAACTGGGAAGGATCTCAGGATCTCGTGGCATGTCGTGCAAAATCTTTAGTAAAACAGCCCAGTTCTTCGGGATTCAGACCATGAAAAAAACCTGGCGGGGAATCGCCCTGAATCCACCCTTTCGGGTCATCCCCATCACCGTGACCGATTTGGCGCGCGCCGCCTTCGTGCCCGGTTCCAACAGCGTCTGCAAATGGCCGTTTCTGGCGCAGCGGTCCGCGGCGTCCGTCCGCAGTCGGGGAGGCGGTCTGCAATTTCTATAGCAAGATAGAAAGCAACAAAACAAGTCTGTTTCTGCTCAAGTATACTTTAAACATGAACATCCTTGGTGTCTGCCATCGGCAGTTTTGCTCCAAGTGAGGCGTCGAATCCTACTAGTACAGCACACAATCAGAACATAGATGGTTTGTGTTCGCATGAATCAGAAAATCAGAAAAATAGTACAACACAGAATCAGAACAATCAGAAAAAAAGAACTAGACGACGAGTGGCCCGAAAGCATTTTTCATCACGTAGGAAATCAGAGTGCGAGTTATCCGGTAAGTGTGTAGTGAGAAGTGTTAAGTCGAGTGAGTTGAGGTAGTGTGTGGGTTTCTGTGCGTGTGTCTATGTCCGTGTGGAAACGAGTCTGCGTATGTGTGTGTTCGTGGAAGTTGAGGGAGTGTGTGGGTGTTTGTGTGCGATGCGGCCTCCCAAACCCCCCACCGGCGGCCAAGCGGTGGCAGCCCAGCTCATCGTCGTGAGCATTTGGGCTGCTGGTAAGGGGACAATGGCAGCCAGCGTGCTGGCTTACACACTTCAACTATGATGGCAGCCAGCGTGCTGGCTTTGCCATCTGGACAATGG